TTTTAAAAAAGTTACGAGGGATAGTAAAGTTAGATTTCCGAATAACTCAAAAAGTATACATTTTTTCATGGTTTTTAAATATAATTTGTTTCAAAGATATTTAAATTTCCTAAGAAACAAACAAGTTTCCTCGAAATCGGAGAACTATTATTAAAGATATCGCGGTTTTAAAATAATTTTGCTTTATTATTTTCAATAGATATTGAACAAAAGTTAACGAAATTTCCTAGAAAAAGAATCGTTGAAAACGATATGGTGATAAGTTACGTTGTTATAAATATTTTCTGTTGCAAAGCTGATATCCTTTGTTTTGGTTTTTGATTGTTGGAAAGTCTTACATCAACTAAAGCAATCGATACTTCTTAGCTAATTACTAATTATGAAAAAAAATTTAGACCAATATTAGGAATCACTAGGTATTTTCCTCTATTTGACAAGGAAATTAGTGTTACGTTTCATATATCATTGTTTCGAAATAATAAACTATTGTGTAATAATTTGCAGCATTTTTTCTTATATACTGATTGAATTCGTTCGGATGTGTTTATGATCTATTTACCTGAAATTTTTCCAATAACGTTTTGTATGAATAATGTTTTTAATTATTTCAGAAGAATATGTTTATTTACTCTGCGAAATGACATGAACTGATATGGATTAATGCCCGTTTTTTCTCATTCGGTGAAGAATGTTTTGTTTAGAAATAACAATGAACCAAATCATACCGGACATTCCATAACGCAAATATCGATTTTATCTAATCACATGAGGCAATAGTTATTTCTTCGATTCTGCTGCCAAATTATCTTTCACCACAGCCGAATAACAATATTTCGGAACATCGCTACCCTTGGCATTTGATCTACGAAGAATGCGGTTTCGCCGAGAAACCACTCTCTAGGACAAGGAACCGTGACATAACACATCACACGTGCATCACTTCATATGTCCGTAGTGATAATATATTATAATAATATAACATGCTATAATAACAACAACAATATGCTACAATACAATAAAGGCTTATGCCCTTATTCAAGGTCATGAGGTTTCAAGGTTATCTCCTGGAAGATTTCGCTCTTCTAATCTGCTTGTTTTTGCTCGATGATCTGCTTCAAGATATAATTCGACTTTTTTATTTTATTCTTTATCTTACAGGGAGAGGTTACTGACGTTGCGATTTCAATTAAATGAGAAGGAGTTGATCGGGGGGTGCGGTCAAATAAATACTAAATTATAGAAATAGTATAATTTAATTTTTTTGCCAACGTTTCAATCCACTTTGCAGGTCTTCATCAGGGCTACAAAAGATACAAAATATAAAAGGCACATAGTGAAAATAAAATAAATTAATATAAGTGGATATAAAAAAATAAGAAGTTGTCTGATAAAGAAATAAAAGGATGATATCAGAGATATAGTGGGTGACAATGTAGTTAAAATATCAAGTATTATATATATATAGAAGATACAAACAAAAATAGAAAATACTTCTACATTCTACATACTTCTATTTTTGTTTGTATCTTCTATATATATATATATATATATATATATATATATATATATATATATATATATATATATATATATATATATATATATATATATATATATATATATATAATACTTGATATTTTTACTACATTGTCACCCACTATACAGTGATGGAATATTTTTATATGGAATATCACATATCTCTAATATCATCTTTTTATTTCTTTATCAGACAACTTCTTCTTATTTTATATCCACTTATATTAATTTATTTTATTTTCAACATGAGCCTTTTATATTTTGTATCTTTTGTAGCCCTGATGAAGACCTGCAAAGTGGATTAAAACGTCGGCAAAAAAATTAAATAATACTATTTCTATAATTTAGTATTTATTTGACCGCACCCTCCGACCAACCCCTTCTCATATTATATATCACGGTCAACCATCTCTACATCATTGTGATTTCAATTAAACTTTTTTTTATGATTGTAGGCTCCCTAGGATCCGAGAAAAAAAAAAATTTTATATAATTATAAACAAACTTAAAAAACATATTAGTTATGGTATTAAATAAGTTATTAAGTATAATAATATAATAAAACAAATATTATAAATCTCCACAAGCCATGGTTCGCGGGATATAATGATAGTCTCAAAGAGACTAAGTGAAGGTCTCAGTGTGCTCTGCTGTCCAATAAGTTTGAAGATCCCTGCGCCATCTGGTTTTCGTTTTGATTATACCTTTGAGTTATATAAAATACAACAAGGAATACCACTGTTTTTTTTCTACAGTAAATATTATTGACACACAATCCTCTTGATATGCAAGTGCCACTCCTTGGAATGCTTCCGTAATGCAATCTGTTACTTAACCAGTTATTAATGCATATCACCTGTTATCAAGGATTAAGTCATCCTCTATATGTTTTTTTTTATATAAAAAGAAACGGTATCCTTGTACTTGACCTTGCTTCGTATAAGGCCACGTAGTTTTATTTTCCGCTTCTATTTCATATGGTAAACAAATATAAAACCTTCCCTCCTTCCCGCAGACCCATATATACAAACAGTATAATATAATAAGGCCCATCTAACAATAAGTCTAGATTCGTATAAATGATTTAATATTGCTCAGTATAGCCATTACACGTGCAGTAAGCCCACAAATCTGTATATAGAACAGCTTCCTTTGAAAATCTTTAGAATGCGTTTAACCTTGTTTTGAAATTCCTTACCCGCCTCAATATGCAAAAATTCTTTCATGTAGCAATTATTTATCCATCTCCACAGCAATCAATCTTCCAAAAATACTAGAATTAAATTTTCTTGTTTAAATGTTGTTAGTCTCATTTCACAGCTATCTATATATTAAGTACTAGCTCATGTACCCATCGTTGACTGGTGTGTAGTTAAAATTTGAGAATTTTTTTTTGAGATGAATATTGTATTATGGGGGGAGGTTAATTTCATAACATTGGGTGAGGAGAGAGAGGTATTTTTAATTTTCATATATTTTTCTTCCGGTTGCCAGCTAATCCGTTTGGTTAATCCTAAAAATGTATACGAAAACGTTTGTTAGGATCTCAAAGTTGAATACAATGACACCTTGTACGGGAAGATCGGGCAAAGTTGAAAAATCAGTATGTTTTAAGCGACAACGCATAACAAATGTTTAGTATTTCGAATTTTTCCTGTTGAGTTGTGATAATTTTTTCCATCAGTTGAATAGTACAACTGTTAACTCGCGGTAAAGTAGGTTGGGATGAGAATCGAAGTAACTGCCAAACCGAGATCTCTAGACAAATTACTCAAGAATTCATAACTCTGGTTCTATTCAATATTTTGTTTTCATTTAAAGCCTATGTTTTAAGTCAAGTAAACCTTCATATAATGTAAAAATTTCAAAAGTCTACAATAAGCCATTGCTGAGTTTACCCCTGACAAAATTTCGTTGCAATGCGGACATACAGACAGACAAAAGAATGTTTTAAAAGTAGATTTGGTGTCTGTAATGTATGAAACGGAAAGATAGCATAAAACGGATTAATTCAATTTAATGTACAGACAAAATCTTCATTTTGTTTATATAGATGTCGCTTATCAGTACAATTATGTAAACATAATAATAATTATAATAATACTTTATTTATTATGGTACGAGTTCCTTTAGAATAACACAGGACATAAATGTGGGCTAAGGAGCCTCAGAGATACATACACAAAAACACAGAGTAATTAAATAGTCATAATAAAAAATTATAATTTACTTTCTAACTTAAATCAGTTAATAATAAAAAATTGAAAATAAATTAAAAATAATGAAGATCTATCTAATAATTTATATACTTATTTACAGAGGTATCTAGTGACAATCTTATAGGGACTGGATGGATAAGAAACAATAAAAAATAATTGAACATAATAATAATAATGTTTTATTTATTCTGGGATGAGTCCCTTTAGAATAATACAGAAAGACAAAAATGTGGGCCAAGGAGCCTCAGATATACATAAACAAGACTATAGTTTGATTAAATAGTCAAAATAAAAGAAATTATAAGTTATTTTCTAATTTAAATCAGTTAATATTAAAAAATAGAAAATTGAAAATAAACATGAAGTAGAAATAGTGAAGAACGATCTAATAATTTATATACATATTTACAATAATTAAATATGTAAATATACTAGTAAATAAACATGCTGGTATTTATTTATGTATTTTATTAGTTTAATTATGCTTGTCCTTTATATTAATTCTAAGTTAACATCACTCTGTAATTAAATTATTTCTTCTTATTTGTCTATCTATTGTTCATTATTATTATTATTATTCTTAAGGGAAAAAATGTCCCAAAATAAAATTTACATTTCTTCTTCTACTTCATTCTCTTAAGATGGATAGAGTTATTTCTGTATTATTTTTTTTTACATTAATAAAAAAATAATGTAAGATAGGATAATGTAAGGAGCCTCAGATATACATAAACAAGACTATAGTTTGATTAAATAGTAAAAATAAAAAATAAAAGAAATTATAAGTCAATTTAAATCATTTAATACTAAAAAATTGGAAATAAACATGAAGTAGAAATAATGAAGAACGATCTAATAATTTATACATATTTACAATAATTAAATATGTAAATATACTAGTAAATAAACATACTGGTATTTATTTATGTATAATTTTATTACTTTAATTATGCTTATCCTTTATATTAATTCTAAGTTAACATCACTCTGTGAATCAATTATTTCTTCTTATTTGTCTATCTATTGTTCATTATTATTATTCTTAAGGGAAAAAATGTTCCAAAATAAAATTTACATTTCTTCTTCTCCATTCTCTTAGGATAGATAGAGTTTTTTATTTATGTATTAGTTTTTTTGTTTATATTAATAAAAAATAATGTAAATTAGGACAAAGATAATCATAGCCAATTCCAAAGTTATATGCGCTCATACCCAGCCCAAATAATTTTCTATAAAATTGCAATACTAAACAAACTTCGTTAACTGAACTGGTTTTGTAATCAGTTCGAATCCCGATAGGACATCCACAACACTCCCCAGCTCAGAAAAGAGCAGACCCAGAATGCAGAGAAAGTCTCTCGGCTCTTCAGCAGCTAATTGCCGTTTTCTTCTGCTGGCTAAGAAACAATACCTCGATGTCCTTCCTCCAGCTCGAACAGGTCGGTCTAGTAGCTGCTTGGTCTTGTAGCTTCCCTCCATTACTCTCTTATAGTCTACAATTTCACTCTAAAGAAAGTTTCACATCAACGAATATGCCATCTACGTTCCCATCTGGTTTTGAAAAAATATTTACAAGTATTTTAGAATCTCATTCGACCAGGAATTTGTTCTAAGCTCTGTCTTGTTCTTCAAACGTTTGGTTAATCTTATAATTTTTAGCCATAAAAAAATATGAATAAAATCTAATATTATTTGTATCATTTTGGTTCTTCAGTATCGAGAACAAATTAATGAATAACGATCTAACCTCTTATGTTACAATAATAGAAATCAGACAAATCTTAAGCAGGGGCACAGGAACGTACTACTGAAGATAGTCCCACCTAACGTAAAATATACCTTATAAGTCTGGATACGAACTCGATATCACTCGAAGGAAGGTGTATTAGTAAACAGACCTTGACCATGAATCTATCTAAATAAGATAAGACCCTCAGGGGATATTTTCGCCTATCTGTGCTGTCTCTAGCGAAACTGTATCAATTAAATAGTCAACATAATTGTTAATGAATTTATCTCACCTCAATATTTCAATGTGAAAATGTTTAAATGTACATAAGCTCAATGTATAGTAACAATAATTGCAGCATTAGCCTGCTGAAGAGGAAACAGACAGAGCGATGCAATCATATAACTGTAGCAGCGGCATTGGCACTTGATACTTTTACTTCCTGTCCTACAGTATCCTTTATAACAATACTTCACTTATCCCTATTGAACAAATCCGATACCTTGGACTCTACCTGGACAAACATCTGACTTGAAATCCTCATACCAGACTGAAACGACAAGAAACCGCTCGACGTTTCCGACTACGTTAGTGCATACTAGACTAACGATCTAAACTTCCAATTAATTACAAAATACTCATATACATGACTATAATAAGGGTCTATTTGGACTTACGGAGTTGAACCTTGGGGCTCCACTAAACCATCGAATTCCTTTCGTATCCATACCCTACAATTCAAAATCCTTCGATAATCGTCAATGCTCCTTACTTCCAGAATGACCTTAATATTCCTTATGTTTCCGAATTGGCCCAATCCAAATACATATACTTCCTTGATAAACTTCATTCAAAACCATTCTAATTCTCCCGTTTCTATCCTTACTTCCTCGTCGATTCCTGATAACCCCCCGAGACGTCTGTATCCTGTTGATAATAAGATCAGCTGTGATAGAACCAACATCCTTTCATGGCCGCAGACAGGCTACAGCTATAGTGGTATATTAAATATTTCAATCGGTTTCTATAATGTCAGGGCTATGTGGGTGGATGTAGGCTCGGCATCTTTGTTTTGGAAAGCGATGCCACCATGTTATTTTAGATATCAGGTAAAATTTGATGTGTTTTCATCTAAGTTTTTTTAAATTTTAAATTGTTCAAACTTTTGTTTCGTTCCGTTTATTTTGTGTTGATAAAAAATAATACAATCTGAACTACAGAATACATGTAAATTACATTAATATAATTTGAGCAACGAATAATGCAATTAAATGAACAGTTGTATAATTTTTAAAATTGGGATAGGTCCGGGAACCCAGGAGATATTCCCTAGCATATATACATCACAGTCATGGCTTTGGTTAAGTAATCTTAAATAAATATAAATACTCACATGAAAATTTCTCAATTTAACTGGTATGCAAATTACATTTTACATTTAAAAATTGTTTTTAATATTTATTACTAGTGGATTGGAGGATCTGATGATACGTTATGGAGAAAGACCCAGGGTGTTCGGTTCTGAACGTTGTCGGTTCGATTCCCTTCCTGGGTCGGTAATATAGTCTTGGAGGCCGCGAGAATGTATCTTGACACTCCCACTCTGTGCTATTCGTGGCGGTATCATTAAGTTCCAGAAAGACCTCTAGCCAGAATAGTTCTCCTTAACAGTTTTTGTATAATTTACATTGAAGGTTATACGAAAAACCTTATAACTAATAAGTTTAAAAAAGATTGCCGGGACTTATTACTTGTTGATACGCATCTGTGCAATCGCATTCATTGTACAATTCACAATCAGCCTAGTCTTAGCAAGATAATCCTCTTGGTAAGGGAGGGGAAAGGTCTTAGGGTCAGATGATACCGGAATGTATTTAAAACCATTGGAGGATTAGTCGCTTAAGAGAAAGTAAAAAATAAAAGTCTAAATATAAAACGTTTAGCGTACACTGTCGTTTCAATTTTCAAGACATGGATGAGTGAAACTGCATAGCCAATACGATTGGTTATTTGTTTATCCTGAATTATGGCGGATCTGTGATTTCCAGTCTTTACCTGTGTAAGAAGCTTGATATGAATTGTCGAGACTTTTTCTCTAATTGTTTCACGGTAACTATAATCTTCATTCAATTATCAAGCTGCTCTTAACAGCGCTACAACGCTATCAAGAAGGTAAAGCTATAAAATTCTTCAATCTCGTGTGTGAAGTACTGTGCGTTAAAATCGTCACCTCACCCAGCTTTCTCTTTTATTTATTTCCGCTGTTGACATAGTGCAGGAAGATCTGCAATTGTAACTCCGCTTCCTGGCTAGCTCCTCAGAGGACAACTCTTTCCCATGGTAGTGAAGGCTCTCTTGCTGAGAAAGATAAGAATCCTGGTACAACTTTGATGCATTGCCTCAAAGGACCTGTTGGAGGCATTTTATAATTATTAGGCTATAATAGATTAAACACTAGATAAATAACACGTTAAGAGATGGAGATATAGTTGTTATCTATATTGTTTATTAAGTTTTCCGACGTTTCGACCTAATCATGTTATTATCATCAGTGCAATGGTTACTAGAGTAACAAGAACTGAGCGAGTGGTGTGATAAGGATTTAGGTGGGAGATGAAGCAGAGAGGAAGAGTGGGGTGTTGAAATGAACAGTTAATCGTTGACAGATAATATTTAAGTTTCTATAGTAAATATAAATGTTAAAATGAATTAATAGTATGATATGAATTCAAAAATACGCAAGTAGATAATCAAAGACAACAACGTGATAAATTATATCTAAAGTACCTAATATATTATAACTGATACATTACAAATAGATAATAATCTTTAGATATTCGTTTAATATTTATACAACGGATGATTTTGTGAATCAATCTATAGATCTAAACTTAATACATATATCTATAGGTTAATTCTTAAAACAATCCTTTGTGTATATATATATATATATATATATATAAACAAATCTCTAAGATTATTATCGATTTGTAATGTATCAGTCCATAGAAACGTCAACAAACTTACTAAACAACATCCCAACTATTTTTCATCTTTATAATGTATATATTTATAGTATATGGAGGATTCCGAGCTAAGCTCGTTGATAAAGGTAAGGACTTCGATTCCTAATGCCCATTGCATTGCCCTAGCTGTATCCCACAACTAAATACTCTCCGGAGACCTATGAGGTATTAAGGGCCAACCTCTTGAGGGAGACAGGGCTCTAAGTTTAGAGTCAGCTAATATCGAAGGAGCAATACCCGAACTACAAGACCTTATGTATGGGTACAAATAATGAGGTTATATATGCAAAACCACAAAATATTTTTGTAGACCATCTTTTTTCTCATTTATGTAATCACATTATCTTATGATTCGAGTGGAAAGAAAATGGGTATTTACTACCTGATTATATTAATTACTGAGAAAACATTCATGAAAATTTTTCTAAATAAAAGAGTTGTACGATAAGATGAAGCCAGTCAGATAGTTTTAGACGGATGTTAATAAATTTACTTAACAAATTTATAAAAAGGTGTCTTTTCCTCGGTCTATAAAATGTATTATTCATATACTTTTGGATGCTGAGGAGAGAAACAAAGTTTCCCTGAAACATAAAAATAAAAGTAATAAAGAATATCAGCTTAAATTAAGATTGATTATTTATTAAATTGTATCCATGGAGAAGAAATGAGAATAGTTAATGAAGGAAGGTCGAAGCTATAACACAATAAAAAAAAAAAGTTTTATCTGTTCGGAAAGATAACTTATTTTTCTTAAACAAATCATATTGTTTTTTTCTCTCACGCCTCTAACCTAAAAGGGCATTGGCGCTTTACTACAATTTAAATTATTTTGTAATATTTATAATTGGTAATTGGTTGACTGTCGTGGATAATGAAGAGAAGAATAGTTGGGGTGCTCAGTCAAAAAATTCCTTTTTTGACTGAGCACCCCAACTATTCTTCTCTTCATTATTTTGTAATATTCTGTTATTTTGTAAACTTTAAAAATTCAAACAAATTATTGATTCTATATTCAGTATCTTGAAGGATTTCTCGTAATACTTTAGCTAAGCTGTTTTTCGTCTGTAACTTTCGAATTGAGGACATTCGTCCAGTAAGTATTTCACTGCAGTGGAACGTTATTAAATATTTCACATGTGGCCGCTTCGTGCCCTCTCAGAAGGTAGCCATGTGTAAACTGGCAGTGACACTATCTTTTGTCGGCAATGCATAACTTCTTCTCTCCTTGAACTTCTGTAGCTTGTGGGCTATTTGTCGCAATTAGATTTTATTTCTGTCATTTTGCATTATTTCCTTTTATATTATGTTTCCCATTCTGTTAGTAGTCTTTTTTTTGCGTGGCATAACTAGTCTTCTAAGGTAACTTCCTTTAATCTTATCACCGCCGTTTCTTCTTCACTTCTCGCTAAATGGGCTGCTTGGTCAGCTTTTTCATTTCCCGCAATGCCACAGTGGGCTGGTACCCAAACGTATACTATTTACATGCTTTTGTGTTTTACTTCCCAACATAAATTTATTATTTATTTAATAATAGAATTACTTGGGGACGGGTTGTCGATGGTGGACACTCCATGAGTCAGTTATATTTTTTTTTTATATATATAGATAAAGTAGGGAAAAATAATGATCTCCAGCCACTTTCGTCTTCAAGTCTTGTCTCTTACTATCCAACCACCAGGTTCTTGAAGACATTCCCTGTAGCCAGACAGTATCCTATTCTTTTGATCCTTAACACTAGAGGTGAAAGGTAGACCTTGGGTGCGATCTTCTGTTTCAAGAATGGAATATGTCCGTGTGGTATGTACTAATAGTTTCCGTATAGATATGACTGTTAGAAAAGGTTTCGTAAATTGTAATATAAACTCCTACCCTCTTTATTCAGAAATCATCTATTTGGTCAAGTTTTAAATACCTATATTTCCTGAATTTAATAGATAGTCCATTATCTTTAAAATATACATTTAGAGTAGAAATATCTTAAAGCCGTTTTATACAGTCCAGTTTCTCAACCAAAACTATTTCCTAGAAATTCTAGTTAAATTGTTTATTTTCAGCATTAGTGAAACTCACCTCAGAATTTATAGACTCTTTCTCACAATTAAGTTTATTATTCAACTTCATTTTTTAGTTAAAATTGGCTGTGAAATGTGATCTATGTATGTGATGATGGGGTATATGTTTTATCGAATTCTGTCTACTTCTTTCATTTAAGGGTCCGTTTTTTCTCGGCAAGGCCGTACGTCAAATGTAGGCAATTACGCAATCAATAGGAGTGATCAGGAAGTTTTATTGACACTACTTGGCAATCATTTTTTAAATCGTCTTTCGAAGTATTTTATATGTTTTTTGCTGACATATCTCCAACTACAGTTCATTATTAATAGCTGATTCGCTCTAGGACAACTCTTGAGATTCGATTGATAGTGTTCTGCAGCCATTGCCACATATTCCTCCATTCACAAAGGTCATATGGTTCCATTAGGGCAAATTACACAGTTGATTTCTTCTTCAATATATGTCCTTAACATTCGTTTAATGTTCGACATCCCAAATAGGCTCTGACCGTTTCTTAGGCAATATTACCTTTGTAAAAATGACATTCCCTCACTTCCACCGCCCTGACCTCCTCCAAGAAGGTGTTTCCAGCAGTCATTGACAAAGACCCCCATCCTGGAATCTGGAACTCCTTGAACCTCGACCAAGGCCCCGTTCTCTCTTGTGTAACCTCTTGTCCATCCTATGTGTACGTGTTCTGATAGGTATCGCGTATGCCATCCTTCGCTCGTCCTCTGGAGCAACACGGAGGAAGAGGATGATGTCGATTGGCACATTCTCATGGCCTACATCCGACTGAAGTATTGATGAAAAGAATGCGAAGAATGTTTTATCGTGTAGAGATTAGAAGATCACTTTCGAGGAAAAAAGTGTCATTGACAATATCTGTAAAATGAAAAATAAAATTTATCTTGATTTTGAATTAAAAATGAAATTAATTTAAAACTCAGAGATAGAACAGGATTACAGGTTGCGCCAATAAAGTTTTTTTTTTTAGGGGAGTACATTTTTAGAACGTTGGGAATTTTTGAGGAGAGCGCATTTTTTTAAGGTTTCTATTTAGGCGAAACTTTCATTTCAGGGAACAGGAAAAAAACCTATGCATCGAATTTCCACCGGCTGCACCATTTTTAATTCATTATTTGCCAACTATAATGTAGAGGAATAATTCATCTTATTCAGTCTTTGTCTTTTTTTTTTAATTTTCTTTATTAAATTTTATTACATTTTGTTACACATAAGCACCTTAGTAATAGTGAAACAGGACTTCATTCACACAATATGTACAATAGATAAAATTAAATTAGATAGAATAAAAGAAAAACAATAATACTTAATATAAATATACACATATATAAACAAAAAAATAAACCTAAAATAATATATCAAGTTAAATACAGACATATATATGGAGCTATCCCTATCAAAGATATTTTTCAATTAGTAATAAAACTTCAAACGATCCAGTTGTCTTTACTATTATATTAGCCTCTCAGTTGACAGAATGACTAACTCTGATTTCAATATTTTTGAGTGATATTTCTAGTTGGAAAATTTATAAATCTAGTATCTATATAACATTAGGATTAAACATTATTAAGTTGTTTTTTTTTTCTTTTTGCATTACAACTGTAAATCTAGTAGATCTTTTTTTTCTGAACTCCAGGACACTCCGGGATACCAGAAAATGAGGCATCGGATAAAAATGCTAAAGAAGCTGCTAATATGAAAATCCCACCTCTCCAAATATACGAGCCGAGTGATGTAAAAACATTGCTAAAAGACAGAGTACGAAAAAATTGGAATCCATGTGGAATGAAATTCCACCGACTAGTAAACTTACAAATGTAAAAAAAAAGTACAAAATAGTGGGTAAGTGCTGGAAGAGGGAACAGAGGAGAAGAGGTGGTAGTGACAGGCACGGACGGATCTACGGGGGGGGGGCTTTCGGGCTGAACCCCCTCCCCCAAAAAATGGTAAAATATAACCATGTTTTATCGAAAGAAATATTAAAAAAGTATCTCTTAAAGTATTATTATTCGTGTAATTACATTTAAAAGGGCTTTAGGAATAACTTAAACACCATTTCATATTGGTAGTATACATATATATATAAATTAATTACCATTATTAACATTGTAACAACCTCCAATTTTAAGTTAATACATTCAGAATTTTTTTTTTTAAACTTGTTTATTTAAAAATATTACAATCTGTCTCTAGGACATTTATAATAGAGTTCACAGATCTCATTCACACATTATGTACAATAAATAAAATAAATCAGAAATATTAATAAAAAGTAACACCATAGCTCAAGGGCGTAATAACCAAGTTGTTGATCGCTTAAGAAAACTCGTAACCAAACCTAACCTAGTTGATCTTTTGCCATCTTGCCCAGCCTACTCCTTCTCTGTCGTTCTTGAGCTATTTCTTTCTAGCTATCAAATTATCTACACGCAGCTCTCCCTTGCATCTTTGTTTATTCGATATATCTATATGGTTTTTAACCTTCCATGTGGTCCTCTCTCTCATACTTATGAGGCACTCATTGTTGTATTGAGGTTTTCTGATGGATTGCTGTAAGCTAAATGCCCTACCAATCTTAACCTCCTTGCCTTCTTATCATGAGATATCGATTGACCAGTTTCTGTAAGCAATTCTTGATTAGTCTCCATGAGTAGGAGTTTTTAAATATTTCTTTCAAGAACTTGCTGGCACTGTCCAAGAAGAACTGTCTTTTTAGCATTTTATTATTTTAGCATTGTACACACTTAATTCCATTTTTCTTGATTTCAATACCTTTGAAAAAGACAAGAAAGTTCTATTTGCTTTTCTTAAATATCGTTTCAAAACAAAATGAAGGTTTATAATTATGTCTAATACATGCGTAATAATAAATATAAATAAATTAATTTATACATATTATTATTAAATTATAACATCATTCAATGTATATCAACATAACTCTCTATTTTTTTTTCAACTGGTCAGATCGAGAATTTCAATAGCTTAAAACCTTAAAGGTAGAACACGGACCATTTAAAAAAAAAAACTGGTGAGCGCAACACACAACTTTCGCTTAGCGCTCTCCTTTGAATTGAAAATATTTTCTGGCAATGTTGGGCTATTATAAAATTATTGAAGTGCATTATAAATCGTGCTAAAGCTTAAAGCTTAGAGATAACAAACCATTAATACCATTGAAATTAGAAAAAATCTATTTATTTTATCGATGGTAGACAATAAAAATCTACTTACTCCATCTGCTTTTATAAATCACATAACTTCAGTCTCTGAACCTTTCAGTTAACAGAATGACTAACTCCAATTTCAACATTTTTGAGTAATGTTATTTTAGTGATATTTCTAGTTGGAAAAGTTGTATCTATACAGTCAGTGAGTAAATTGATTCCAGAGTGGGTGATTTCAGTATTGAAATATAGAACCGTGAACAAAGGTATAAATTTTGCCACTAGAAATATCGCTAAAGTTAATAATAAAGAATATTGAAATTGGAGTTCGTCATTCTGTCAACCAAAAGGCTGATATATACCTAGAAAGATTTGAAAGTACATCTGAATATTTAACCTATAAATAATTATTGATTGTAGGATTATTAGTTATTAAACTGTTATTTTCCATTGTAAACTTTACTGAAATGAAATTACGAGATTTTCATTGCCTGCCATGGATAGGTCAAACGTTGTCACAATAATTGTAAGTGGATACTATTGGGATTTCACAAAGGGAAAATTCATGAAATTATTCACTAATTTAATTTTCTAAAAGGTTACTTGATAATTACTTGGAATAAACGGCCTATTGGAATTCATATCTAATTATTTAAATATAATATCATCTCTAGAGTTATTAAACTGCAGTAAATATATTTAGGATTATAAACATATTTATGGAATATTTTCATATTTCACTTCTTCCTTCACACAAGTACAATGAAATAGTATTTTAAAGAATTGCATTGGCTTGTTTCGGTGGATTTTAAATATTTTTTTACTTTACTTAGAAAAAAATTTAAAAGTTTACATTTAGTAAGAAAATTTCATTTAATTTCCTTGGAAACATGTGATTTACGTTAAATAATGTTAGTTTTTTGAAATTATTATTTATATTTTCGTCACTCTCCGTTACCTTCTACAACTTTATTTATTTGATTTTATTTTTTATAAAATTCTTCTCTTTCCAACGATATATTATACGTATACCTTCTGAATATTATTTCTGGAAATTCATTTTCAACCTGTGTAAGTATTTTTCTTTTTTCTTCAGTTTCCAATTATCATATTCTTTCAAACTTCATATTTAGCAATTTTTTATAGTTTCTATCAATAAAAGAGAGATAATTTAAAAGATAATAATAATTTAAAGGATAATACCAAAAACATAATAGCGAGATTCTTTTATTTTGTTCTTTTTTTTTATTCTTTACAATAAAAGTAGAAATCGTACTACTCCTTCTATTCATAATAAATAATTCCACCTTCTTTCATAATGGAATTATTGTTATGGAGGTATGCAACTGGGTCAAGTTTGCGTTCTGTTTAGATTTGTTCTCGTTTGTGTAATACGTAACGAATCCTTTTACTGACCGAGATCTTGACACTCCTTATATTCCATGTTGCATCATTGTGCAATGTTCATTTGACAATAACTCTAGATTGTATTTCATAACATCTATTATTTTTTATTTATTTGTCTTCTTCATTTCTAGTTATATTTTCTTGTTAAAATGTAATTTGCTAAATGATTAATGAAGACAATAAGTTAATATGTTCTTTTAAATCTGATCTGAAGTACTTCGGCTTGTAATAAGAAAATATCTGATAATTCAGATTTTTTGATGAGCTATGAAAATATTTCTAAACTCATTGGAGGAAATTATAATATTAGAAAAAATTATTTAGAAAATTAATATTTAGAAAATTTAATATGAGAAGGAGTTGGTCGAGGGTGCGGTCAAATGAACACTATATATCAGAACAGTATTTTATTGTTTATTGTTTTTATTATTAGTTTCTGTATTATTTATTTTGATTTATTGTAAATAGAGTGTGATTATACTCTCTGAGCACTATTACAAATGTCCTTAATTGTGACAGAATGTAATATTTCTGAATAATTAAATAAATAAATACGCCCACGTTTCGACCCACTTTTTAGGTCTTCATCAGGCACTGTAGGAAGCAATTGGTAGACATAATAATTTTAACAAGTAACAACATTTATTTATAATGATACTTTTATTCTAGAAACTGAATTGTAATAGAATGCTACAAAAAGTTCTAAAGATGGAAAAAACAATCCCTAAATGTAAACTTGAAAATATACAAATTACATATAACAAAAGGAAGTTTTCTTTTCTTATCTCGTAATTAATTAGCCAGAACTTCCCAACTAAAGGAGAAGTTGTAAAGAAAATTTAGTTTAAATGAGGAAAATATTTTAATCAACTTTATGGTTATGGTGGTTTTTCAAAAAAAAAAAAACATTGTTCTCTTACATATTTTTTTTAGTAATTTCTAAGTATAAAAAATATTCTATACAACATTTTTAAGGCAAGCAAAGGATTAATTAAAACTTACTTAAGAATTTTTATTTTTTTAATATATCATAAATTTCTTTAATTTGATATTTACATTATTTATAATAAAGTTGTGTTCTTTTTCCGGCTATCAAGAGTCATGTAGTTTGATAAACGTACGTTTTGAAGTCCTAACTTGTACATTGAGATAATAACAGCTGTTAAGTAAGTCTT